AGAACACAAAATATGTTCTTGGCCCATAAAGCATCAGGAAAATCCCCAGTTGTGTGGAAATTAAGTAAGTATCAAACATTTAGGTCAAAAAGGAAGCCTCAAAGGAAATATCTTGAACTAAGTGCAAATTAAAATACGACAAAAATTTGTGGGAGCAGTTCAGTCAGTGCTTAGAGAAAAATTTATACCATTAAATACTTAGGTTAGAAAACAAAGTCTTAAATCAATCATCTATGTCAGGAGTTAGCAAACTATACCTCATTGTCTGTTTTTTATAAATAAAGTTTTACTGGAACATAGCCATGGTCATTCAAATATGTGCTATCCAAGGCTGCTTTCATGCTACAACAGCAGTAGTTGTGACAGAGCCCATTTGTTCTGAAAAGCCAAAAATATTTACCAAAAAAATGTTTGCCAACCTAACTTCCATCTTGAGAAACTAGAAAAAGAAGAGCAAATTAAAATCAATAGAACCGAAAAGAGAAAACCAATAGAGGAAAATCAGTGAAATGAAAAACTGGTTGTTTTAAAAAAAAAAGTACAATTGATAAACTTCTTTGAAGGTAAAAGAGAAAAAAATCAGGTAGTTTGGAATTATGGAGGATGCTGAAAATGGAGAGAATGTAAGAGTATCATAGAGACAAAGAATTAGTTCAGTGAATGGAGGAGGATGTTGAGACACATTATGTGAAAGAACTTTTTTCTAAAAATATGCCTATCACATCAATTTCAGAATTTATAAGCCATCTGTTTGCATGAATGCTTAAAATCATAAAATCCTATTTCTGTACTGGAAGAAACATCAGTGGTCAGTTTAATCTTCACACCATGTTGTCAGACCAATCCGCTGGGAGAGTCCTTTCATTTTCTTCCTTTTTTTTTTTTTTAAATATTTAGCTAGAAATTTTTGAGAAGCATTCCCTAAGCTAAGGATTTCTTAAAATTTTTAAAGCTCATTTGTATTCTGTATCCAACTCCAAAATATAATAATGCTTTTATAAATATGAAAATGCTTGCCACCCCTCTGACCCATTAAGCAAAATTGGTGCTTTAGAATGACATTGTAGGTTTATTCCCTGATTTTTCATGCTCCTTAATACAAACCTAACAGTCCTAGTTAAAGACATCTTGATTAGTCCTTTTTAAAAAAAAAAAACAAAAAACAGATGATGAAATAGTTCTTGCCCGGGACCTGTTGGAAGCTATACAACTAGTTAGTTTCAAAGCCAGGATCTGAACCCAAGATTTCTGATCCTCAGTTTAGAATTCTTGCTATTATATCATACTGTATTAAGTTTGTATCCAAAGTTATTATTTTTTTTTAAGATTTTACTTATTTATTTGACAGAGAGAGAGAGAATAGGAACACAAGCAGGGGGAGTGGGAGAGGGAGAAGCAGGCTTCCCGCCGAGCTGGGAGCCCGATGTGGGGTTCAGTTCCAGGATGGTGGGATCATGACCTGAGCCAAAGGCAGACACTTAACTGACTGAGCCACCCAGGTGCCCACAAAGTTGTTTTTTTTTTTTTTCTCCAAAGTTGTTTATTTTAAACTGTGCCTAACTTCAGCATCATTCTGCAAGACAGTGTATTACTTGAAATTTATTTGGTGTTCCTCCAAAAAAGTATTGTATAGTCATACTCAGCTTGGAAGTTGCTAGTCAGAATTCCTCTCTGGAGAGAGTCTCAATTCACATTTAGTATATTTAAAGGATCGAAGGTCTTACATTAAAGAAATAAGTTAATTTTCTTAGTCTAGTGTTCCTTTTTTTTTTTTCTTTTGAGAAACCTAATCTTTAACAACACTATAGCATACTGATTTTGCTAGAGCAAAATTAGGAGATACTAACCTATGGGGTCATATTAGTTTAACTTTTGGAAACTAGCATGTAGATAGAGCATTCATATGAGCACTTGTGGACTGTAAATTCTCAAATGATGGGGGAGAAAGCAAGGAAAACAAGATGACTCAGCCCTGAGTAAAAGTAGATTTGTAAGTGTGTACATACATCCTACTTGCTCTCTATATTGTTAGACTTCACTACATACAGAACATCCAGATTGACCTCGGAATCATTCCCACTGTGATCCTTTAGATCACTTGTGGCCTCATAGCATTTCTTGGCTTGTCATCTTCACTGTGCATTAGAATGTTGGACCATTTTTAATTCCTTCCAAAAAAAATTTTCACCAGTGGTACAGTGATGCAGTGGATTATATATTGTCCATATCTGTCATGGATAATACAACATTAGGTGCAGCTTTTTTTTTATTCCAAAAGTCAGCTTGCTTCTTTTTTCTGACTCTAGGCTGTATGGGGATGAAGACATTAATGAAGGCATTAGAGTTAATGTAGAAATAATTATAGCGAATACATACATAGCATTTACAAAATGCCAGCCACTATTTCATGCACTTCTTATATATTAATTCCTTTAATCTTCATAAAACTTGAGGTAGATAATATTTTCTTTGTTTTACAGTCAGGAAACTAAGGTTAAGTGATTTGCCTCCAGTCATATAATTGGTAAGAGATAACCATTTAAACCTAAGAACCTGACACTGAAGTAACTAGTACTCTTAAGTGCTGTACTGTACTGCACTCTTGTAAATGAGTGATTGTAAGTTGCTGCTTTTTTCCATTTTTTAAAGATTTAGAACCTTTTGCTTTCACCTCTTAATGTTCACTCAGGAATAAGGACCTACTTTGTGCCAGTCCCTCAGCTAGTGACTTAGGATATAATATATGGTCCTTATTTATATAGAGCTAAAAAAGTTTACCAGTTTAGACTTTGTAGCTCACTAAAAAATATTTTTTATTCTTTTTTTTTTTTTTAAGATTTTTATTTATTTATTTGACAGAGAGAGACACAGCGAGAGAAGGAACACAAGCAGGGGGAGTGGGAGAGGGAGAAGCAGGCTTCCCACGGAGCGGGGAGCCCAATATGGGGCTCGATCCCAGGACCCTGGGATCATGACCTGAGCCAAAGGCAGACGCTTAACAACTGAGCCACCCAGCCGCCCCAAAATATTTTTTATTCTTAATCTGCTAGATTTTTTTTTAAATAGTTTAATAGTTTTTAATTGTGGTAAAAAAAAATTTACCATCTTAACCATTTTTAAGTATACAGTTAGTTCAGTAGTGTTAAGTATATTCACATTGTTGTGCATCAGATCTCCAGAACTTTTCCTTGCAAAACTGGAACTTTTTTACCTTGAAAAACTGAAACTCTATTAAAAACAAATTCACTCATTTTCCCCTTCTGCAAGTCCTTAGCAATCACCATCTACTTTCTTTCTTATGAATTTGACTACTTTGGATACTTCATGTAAGTGGAATCATACAGTTGTCTTTTGTAGCTGGCTCATTTTGCTTATTAGTATTATGTCCTCAGGGTTCATCTGTGTTGTAGCATGTGATGGAATTTCCTTCTTTTTTTTTAAGGCTGAATAATATTCCTTGTATGTATATAACACGTTTTAAAAATGTATCCGTGTGTTGACGAATACTTGGGTTGCTTCTACATGTTGGCTATTGTGGATAATGCTGTTATGAACATAGGTATGCACATATCTCTTCAATATCCTGTTCTATGTTCTTTGGGTATATATCTAAAAGTTGGATTGCTGGATTATAGGGTAACTCTTTTTAATTTTTTAAGGAATATAGTGTTTTCTGTGATGGCGGGGCCATTTTACGGCCTGTGAACAGTGCACACGGTTCACATTTCTTCACATCCTGGTCAAAACTTAGTATTTTCTGTCTGGGTTTTGGCGGGGGGGTTGTTTTGTTTTTCATTTTGTCTTGGGTAAATATAGTAGCCATCCTAAAGGGTGTGAAGTGGTATCTCATCGTGGCTTTGATTTGCATTTCTCTAATAATTAGATTGGTGTTGAGCATCTTTTTATATGCTTGTTAGCCATTTATATATCTTCTTTAGAGAAATGTCTATTTAGGTCCTTTGCCCATTCTTTAATCGAGTTATTTTGTTAAGTTGTAAAAGTTCTTTTTATGTCCTAGATATTAAGTCCTATTAGATATATGATTTGCAGATATTTTCTACCATTTCATGGGTTCCCTTTTCACTCTGTTGATTGTGTCCCCTTTCATGAACAGAAGTTTTTAAGTTTGATGGGGCCCCATTTGTTTATTTTTGCTTTTGTTGTCTGCTGTTGGTGGCACAGCAAGAAACCACTGCCAATCCAATGTCTTGAAGCTTTTCCCCTGTTTTCCTCTGAAGTTTTATAGTTTTAGGTCTTACATTTAGCTCTTTAATCCATTTTCAAGTAGTTTTTGTATATGGTATAAGGTAAGGATCCAGCTTCATTCTCTTACATGTGGATATACAGTTTTCTCAACATCATTTGTGGAAGAGACTCATGTTAGACTTTTTTTTAATGCCCTGAAATGATGAATTGATGAGATTTTTCTATTTAATTTAGGATGTTTTTCACTCTGACATTTAGCCTTAGTATTTTCTTAGTTATTGATAGAATTTCAAGTTTTATAGGTGTGATACAGAACATATCAATAAACAGTGATATAATTAAAAAAATTTTTTTTTAAGATTTTATATTTGACAGAGAGAGACACACAGCGAGAGAGGAACACAAGCAGGGGGAGTGGGAGAGGGCGAAGCCAGGCTTCCCGTGGAGCAGGGAGCCCGGTGCGGGGCTCAGTCCTAGGACCCTGGGACCGTGACCTGAGCTGAAGGCAGATGCTTAACGACTGAGCCACCCAGGCGCCCGATAATTTTAAATTTTAAGTGATTCAGCTCTTTTCATTGTTTGTGGGGTTCTCACATTTGGGTTTGTGTTTTTTTTTAATCAAAATTGTATATTAAAATTTTATATGAGTCCGTCTCCAAGTTTTTTCAAATGCCTAATCTGTAATATATTAAAATATTTGTTGCTTTGAGCTAAATATTTAGAAGTACTCTAGCCCAAAATAAATGATATAGAAATAAATGTTGCATAATTTTTCCTGTCCTTTTTGCTCATAGGGAAGCAGCACGAGAGTGTCGTAGAAAGAAGAAAGAATATGTGAAATGTTTAGAAAACAGAGTGGCAGTGCTTGAAAACCAAAATAAGACACTCATTGAGGAGCTAAAAGCACTTAAGGACCTTTACTGCCACAAATCAGATTAATTTGGGATTTAAATTTCACCTGTTACGGTGGAAAAGGACTGGCTTGGCCACAACAAGAAAGACAAAATAAACATTTTATTTTCTAAACATTTCTTTTTTTCTATGCGCAAAACTGCCTGAAAGCAACTACAGAATTTCATTCATTTGTGCTTTTGCATTAAACTGTGAATGTTCCAACACCTGCCTCCACTTCTCCCCTCAAGAAATTTTCAGCACCAGGAATCATGAAGAGACTTCTGCTTTTCATCCCCCTCCCTCTTCAAGAAGTAATCATTTGTTTACTTGTAAATTGATGGGGGAAATGAGGAAAAGAAAATTTTTTAAAAATGATTTCAAGGTTTGTGCTGAGCTCCTTGATTGCCTTAGGGACAGAATTACCCCAGCCTCTTGAGCTGAAGTAATGTGTGGGCCGCATGCATAAAGTAAGTAAGGTGCAATGAAGAAGTGTTGATTGCCAAATTGACATGTTTTCACATTTTCATTGTGAATTATGTAAAATTGTTAAGGAACATACCCTCTAAAAAAGAATTTTAGTATGGTGTTGAAGAAATTAAGAATGAATTCGGAGTGCTTTCTATGTACATTCTCTTCTTCAATACTGAAAACTTGTCCTTGGTTCTTAAAAACATTCTGTGTTAACTATAGCTCTTCCATAGGGCAGTTGTTGCTTCTTAATTCAGTTCTGTATGTGTTCAACATTTTTGAATACATTAAAAGAAGTAACCAACTGAATGAAAAAGCATTGTATTTTAATTTTAAATTAAATTGAAGTAAATAAAAGTACAAAGCTTGTTTTAGTTAGTACTAAATTCTTAGTAAAAAGATGCTCATTAGTAAACCAGCCCCTTGAGTTATATAACAAGGTTTTTAAATAAATGTTTTTGTCATCGCCTTCAGAAAATAATTATGTCACTCATTTACTTAAAAAGATATTTCTAATTAAACTGTTCACATTTGCACTTACATTATACCACCAACAGGAAAGCCTTCAAGATGTTAAATAAAACAAAATGATATATTTGTTTATAAAATGTAATGTGTTGTAGAAAAATACTGATTTGAAATCTTTTCCATATTAACATACTTTAAGAGTATCTCTGGTGAATTTTTTAATGAAAGAAGTTGTAAGGATATAGTTATAAAAAGTACAGTATTAGATGTACACAAGGAAGGCTATTTTCTTCAGACATATTTGAATGACTGCTGTACTACAATATTTGGATTGTCCTTCTTGCAAAACATTTTTTTGGTTTGTTTTCTCCTAAAAAGGATAGTTGTGCTTTAGCTTTTCAATATACTGTATAGCCTTTGTCATTCTGCAAAGGAGCTACCTGTTTGAATCCCTGACTATAATAGTCTGTATTTATACGTATCATACATTGTTTCCAGTACTACTACTAATTATTAATTACTCATCTTATTCACTAGGCTTGATAAATCTAAAAGTTACCCTTTAAAAGAAAAATAGGATTAAGGTGGATTTTAAAAATTGGAGACTGACATAATCTTAGATATAATTTCTCATTTGAGGTTATTCCTTTTAAAAGAAGAGTATAGAAAATTAATGTTTTATATTTAGTCATGGGTTACTTTTAAACATTGTTTGTTAATATGTTAACAAAATATGCAGTCATGGGTGTTATTGGGTCCATTTTGAAAAGTAAGATTTTTAATTAATATTTGTATATGGTATATTTTTGTTTGTAACAAACCATTGTCTTTTTTCAAGGGTGAACAGAGTTTATGAAGGAGCATCATTCTAAGAATTGAGTGATTGTAGTCTTATATTTGGACAATTCACCAGATTCTCAAGAAGGCTTTCAAACGGCTGTAAAGTTTGATGTTTATCCTGCTGAGCTAATGGGGAAAGTTGTAGCATAAAAATTATTTGTATACCAGCTTAGATATGTCATTTTCCAAACTTCAACAGAAACTAAGCAAAATCACAAGTCTGTTCACAAATTAGAATTCTTAATGAGTCAAAATGTTTTGAATGTCATAAACTTTATAAATGAAAATTGCCTAGTATTTAGCACGTTGTATTCTCTAAAGTAAACCGTTTTCCAAAAGTTGAGGCATTCTGTTTAATTAGGAAAGTTGATGGTCCTCTTAGTCCCCGATAAATCAAGGCAGTCACATCCGTATGAGCGGGTTGAATTTATAAGTTTTTATAAATACCAGGTCCTTTGTACCTTGAGGAAGATTGCACTGGTTTGAAGTCAGTTACTTCATGGTGAGGTAAGAAATATATTCTGTTGCTAAATCTGTTTTAGACCCTTTAAGAGACTTGAAGGTATTTCAGTTTATACAGATAGAAATTAAGCATCTTTTGTGCGGACTTTTCTTTTTTTTACAAGAATTGGAAAAAGGGTGTTTGTTTTTAAAAAAGCATGCAACTTTGAGAATCTTTATTAAGAAAATGACATAATTAAAAAAAAATCTTGTAGCCAAGAACTATAATATATGGCCACATTACCAGTAATAAATGTTTTTTCTCTTCATATTGGCCAAAAGGGAATGAAAACATCATCATAGGAATCTGTACATATGCTACTGATTTGCCTAGAAAATAGCAAGTTTGGTATCGCTTACTTTGCAAATATAGGGCCATGTGGCACTTTTATCTATAGGACAGATTAACTCTAATAAAAATGAAGTGGGAGGGGTTTATTTTTGATATATTACTCTTATGAGTTTTCAAGCTTTGATAGTGTTTAACTGAAAAGTGGTTTAGAAAGGGCTAGATCCAATGTGTTCACATTATTAAAAAATTGATATCAGATATAATTTTAATTTCATTCTTTTCAAACTCAAGTACCATATTGGCAACCATCATATTGTCATAGGTGCTCTGTTCATTTAGATATTATGGGGGGGGAATGGCATTTGTATAATATATGTGTACATATATATAAATACATACAGTATATAATCTGAAGCTCTGAGAGCTCTTAAGTCAGGAATGCTGAGTATTATAGTATATTGAGATCAGATGAAATTTTACATTTTTGTGTGTTCTATTGCATCCCTTTTAGTAGTTTCTTGGACTGCATTACTCCAGCACTCATTGATTTTTGTCTTCTGATTTTCTTCCAAGTATTTTTTTTTATTGTTAGTTTTCTTTGGCTTGATACTTTTACATATGTTACTAGTCACTTGAAAACTCCCCCACCCCTGAAGTATTTGGTTTTTATGCTTTGTCTCTGGCAGCTATAACAGTGGTAAGAACGTTTTGAAGATAGCTTCTAAAAGGTACCACTGATTTTTCAAAACTCATCCTGGGGGACGAATTATGGTGTTTTCATTTGAGCAGGGATTTTGTCAGAAAGTGTGTTTTGGATGGTAGGTCAGCAGCAGCGCTAGTGTCTGAAAGTGCACACCAGTCAGGCAGGCTGTGTGATCAGAGGTCATCTGGCTGAAGTTTCTCTCGGTCTCTCAGGCCTCATCCCTACTATCATTTTGACCACGTGGGGTGACATGTGGAATCATACAAAGGCTTAGGAAGAAACAACAAGTTTGTTTAAACCAGGATGCTTTTACTTACTTGAAGTGACTTCAATCTAGATTTCTTCTTGACATTTTTTAAATGTTTTTAATTTTATGATCAGCTACAGTCAGCTACTAGCATAAATTGGTCTCTTTAATTTGAAGATCAAAAAGGCTGCTTCATTTTGCAGGATTAAATAAGGCTAATATGGTAAAGTTAAGATTTTGAATTAAAGTGGGTTATAAGAACAATAGTTACACACCTTTTCAGTTATTCCAAGAGGCTTTATTTTGTTGCCTTTGTGGCTCTGAAAACTTTCGGTATATTGTTTCCCATTGACCTAATACAAAAGTTGTATATTTATTTGGATTATATTTACATTGTATTCTTTGTAAATGTTTGGTGTAACTTGCACTTTTAAAAATGACCCAGATGGGTATTAGCAACTTGAGAAGTTCCCTCATCAATTAATTGTCAACTGACTTTTTATGTCTTTCTCCTCTCTTCAAATCATGTGACTTTTTAAATGGAAACTTTTCATTAAAATATTTTAGCACCTAAAGGCTAGTCTTATAAATAGCTGTAAAAGAAAAATAACAGGAAATTAGATTTGACTAGCCCAGTTAATTAAAAGATGAGTTTGGACCCAATGTTAACTCTTTTTCATCATGGATAAAGACAGAAGGAAAAGCAACTTGAGTGAATAGATATTTATTTCCAACGTTGATGTTGTCTGTAGGATATCAAGATATCCGTGAATTTGTCCAGAACAGTAAAATATTTTTCAGAGTAATTACTGTCATGATGGAGACCACATGTAATCATTTGACTAAGGTTTTTTTCACTTTAAATTGGCTTTCTTAACATCAAAGAAATGCTGCCTAAATTTGACTGATGTCAGGTGAGAAGGGAGAAAGTGCCGTGTGCTTTAGCAAGACTGTAGGTGAAGAGTTGGGGGATACGTTTGCTCACTCAATTGTACAAAGCACAACTAGAACTTTTGTTGGATGGTTTGCATACATCTTGAATACTTTTAATGTTGATATGTTGACTTTTTTAAGTTGACTGCACAGTCACTGTATGTACTTGGGAACTGGTTTCCTTGACTTTCTCGAATTGATGGCTAGGAGAGGCACTAATCCCTGAGGGGTTGAACATATCATGAAGCTGAGTCAGTATGGAAGAATTTCAAATAAATCAAACAGGGTGCTGAAGTTCCATCTGTCTCATATGCTTCTGATAAGTTCTTACTGATTAGTGAATGTAGCTTAAGCCTTTGTATGTGTCCTCAGGGGGCAGACAAACTTTAAGAGGGACCAGATAACGTTTGAATGGAGGGATTATATTTCAGGTGTTTTAGCTTGAAATTTATTTTTTAAAAAAATAAAAATAGAAAAAAAAAATAGAACAAAGCCTGTGAAGCAAGATGATATTATAAACAGGCAGAGTTGTTTAGCACAGAGAGAAGATATTGACCTGTCTGCATTCTGGTACTGTGGGTGCAGGTCCTAGCTGGGCATAACATGATACATTTTTAATTCTCACCAGCAAGTAAAAGAAAAATGAACAATCTGTGGGAAATGTCTTTGAAAAGGGTCAAACAGTAGGAAATTCAGATTTTACCTACTTTATATAGGCATTATATGATACTTGCCTATAGAAGTATGGCATGTCCAAGCTTCTGTCTGAGGAGCATCTCAGAAATGTGAGTGTAAATCTGAGATAGTTTAAAAATTGGTAGGGAAGGAAGAAAATCCCTGCAGATAATAATCTTATGTTAGTTGGCCAAGTGAAATGATCTATCATTGTGTTGGGGAGGTTTTATTTTCTTATGTTTTTAAAATTGAATTGGTAAATGCTTTATAGACGTATTTTTATCCAGGTGCCACTCCAATTTGTGTATGTAATAAAATTATTTATATTAAAAGTGGGAAATAATTTGTCAACATTGTTCTGTGAGTATGGATTTATTAGGGGTGGCAAAGAAGAGTGCTAGTTAGCAGTTTTCCATGTAGAGTTGTCCCCAACTGATTTGTCCACATGTCAGTTGTCATCCCCACCCACAAAAGGAATTATTTCTAACCTAGATGTATCACTTGAAACTTTTTAGAAACAAAATAATCAGGGAAGTTTCTAGAGAGAAAGATGTTTTTGGTTTTTGTTTCAATTTTTCCTTGAGGATTGGGGTAAAGAATACCTCCCCCCAAAACCATCAGCACAAAACAGGGTATTGATTTTTAACTCTGATGTTGCTATTGGAGTTGAATACTAAATAAATAACTATAATGAGGGAAATACATTTCTAAAAAAATTCCCTACATTCTAGAAACATCCCTGTTTTAATTTTTTTACCTAAATCTTTTTGTGCTCTGTGTAAAGAGAGAAAATGTACTGGGTTATAATGCATTTTATTAACACTATGTACATATTAGCTGCTTTGTGTTCAGAATGGTAGCAATTGCTTTGTATATTAAAGTGATCCTTGTGAATTTGTGAAATATTGTCATAAAGTGCTTTTTTCTTACTGTAATCTTTGTGGTATCAACTGTCATAATGCCCTTTTTACACACATTTATGTGCAGTCACATAAACATGCTTTTAAAAACTCTGTAAGTCTCTTTTTTTGGGGATGGGATCTCTATGTTTTCTCTTTTACTACTAGTGTTAAGCTGTATTTTCTTGAACTTAGTTTTATTACTTTTGTTAAATGAGCAAAATTTATGTTAGAATATTTTACAAGCTTGTTGGCACAGCAACAGAAAACTAGTTTGAGCAACAAGAACATATTTTCAGTTATTTAATTTTACTGTATTCCTCATTTTTAGCACAAGATTTCTTTGTTCAGTAAGATTGAACAGTACCTATTTGAAGATTTGGAGTTGTTACCTCCCTATTGAGAAAACCAATGGGAGACATAGGACCAGCTGTCTCCAGTGTCATAAAATGCATGTTTGCACTGGAAGAACAATAAGAATAGATAACTTCTCAGGTCCCCTTGTAATTCTAAAGTTTTGTGATCATATAAAATGGAAGGAAATGGGAAGGGGTGTGGTTGATCTGCTCTTTGCTTAAAGCATAATAAAAGATTCTCTCCTGTTGATTCAATTTCTGAAAATAAGCAGTTGCATTTTTTCCAAAGTACTTTTAAAAAAATTACCATGACATGTTTATGAAGCTTGTTATACCTGCTATAGTATTGAAGGCATTACATGAATTTTATTATTTTTCTACAGAGCATGACCATATAAGTTATTCTGCAAACAGACATTTTTGAGAGTGAAAGGGTGATACTAATTAATAGGGACAAAAGGGGTAAACCAGGATTGTGCTGAGCAAATCAGGACCTATGGTCACTCTCCTTGTAACCCATGTTGTTCAGGTTCACGTTGCTCCAATAAAAGCATAGAGTACCTATTTTCTCTTTATCCGTACCTTTGTTGTCACTTGCTTATTTCACAAATACTTGAAGACACGCTTCTGGGCACTAAGAAGTCCCTGCCCTCAAGAAGCTGTCCAAGACACAGCAAAGAACCCATTCTAAAACGTTTATACAATTTTAGCTCTGTGCTACAAACTCCTATTTGTCATTTCCACTCAGATTGCAAAACAGAACTTCTAATTCCTCATCTAAATCTGTTCATCCTTCAGCTGGCTTTTTCCATCTTATAAATGATGCCACTATTCCACTAAAATGCTTAAGGCAAAAACCCAGAAAAGCATTGCCTTAATCAGCGTTATCCTTTCATTGTGCATTTTAATTTCTCCACCTCTTATGCACATTGACCAAATTTGGGGCTTAGAATTCTCATGAGGGCCTAACAAGTGAAGAGGAAAGGTATTTCCAGGCACTTGAATGCTATTTTTGTTTTTAATTGAGGTGCAATTTACATAACACAATTGACCATTTTTAAGTGAACAATTCAGTGGCATTTAGTGCCTTTACAATGTGCTAGCTACCACCACCTGTAGATCCAGTTCCAAAACATCATCACTCCAAAATAAAAGCCTGTACCTATTAAAGAGTTACTCTCCATTTTCCCTTCCCTCCTGCCCCTGGCAGCCACCAATCTGCTTTCTGTTTCTATAGTTACCTACTCTGAATATTTCATATAAATAGAACCATATGTGACCTTTTGTGTCTGGCTTCTTTCACTAAGCATGTTTTTGAGTTTTCCTCCACACTAGCATTTACCAGTACTTCCTTCCTTTTTATGGCTGAATAATAATCCATTTTATGTGCCACAGTTTATCCAATCATCCATTGATGAACATTCAGATATTTCTATTTTTTGGCTATTGTGCATAGTGCTGCTACGAACATTCATGTGCAAGTATTTGAGTCCCTGTCTTCAATTCTGTTGGATAGATACCTAGGAGTGGAATTGCTGGGCCATATGGTAACTATGTTTACTTTCTGAGGAACTGCCAAATTTTTCCTGAGCTGCCGCACCACTTTACACTCCTCCCAGTGATGTATGAGGGTTCCAATTTCTCTATGCCCTGGCCAACGTTAGTTACTTGTTTTTGTTTTAATTATACCCATCCTTATTGGTGTGAAGAGGTATCTCATTGTGGTTTTGACTTGCAACTCTTTAATGATTAATGATGTTGAGAATCGTTCATGGGTCTGTTGGTTATTTGTATGTCTTGGAGAAATACCTGTTCAAGTCCTTTGCTCATTTTTTAATACTGTTTTTTGTTGTTGTTGAGTTTTAGGAGTTCCTTACATAATTTTGGATACTAGACCCTTATCAGGTAATATGATTTGCAATTATTTCTCCCATTCTCTTAAGTTTTCTTTTCACTTTCTTGATAATGTCCTCATTTTTTCACTTCATTTCCTTAAGTAGTATGTACATTTGGTAAAAACTACAAATGGAGAAGCAGTTTCTTGTGTATCCTTTTAGTGACAATCTGTGCATGTACATGCAAATCAATGTCTATTCTCTCCTCTCCCCTTTTTACATAAATGGTACTTTTTCACTGAATGTGTCTTGACAGTTCTATTTCAGTATATGTACATCTGCCTCAGTCTTGCTAACTGGTGTGCAGTATCCCATTATATAGATATCTCATAGTTTATTTAGTAAGCACCCTCTTTTGTGGACATTTAGGTTGTGACTTTTGACTGTTACAGATACACACAAGTTAGTATAAATACAAGCTAGTTTATCTTTAGGATAGATACCGAAAAGTGGAAATTGTTACTTATTAAGTATGGTTGTATTCATTTTTGGAGGTTGCTTCCTCGGCATTAAGAGTCTGCTAAATTAATAAAAATATGTTATTAAGTATTTTTTATGTCAACTTTTATATATAGTCTATGTAATTTTTTTTTTTTTTTTTTTTAGGAGTTAGAAGTAGCAGAACCAGCCTTGACACAAGGCTTTGTAGTAGGTAGGCCTTTCTTTTCACACCTCTTTCACAGGGTTTACCCTTCTAATCTTCCTCAGAAGCAATTGTTCTCAGCCAGGAAACAGTTTCTCAGCATGCCGGCTTTTCTAGTGTTAAATTTTAACACTTTGCTGGTTGTAGAAAGAAAAGCATAACATGACTTAAGAGTGGAAAGAAACTTCTGAGCTAACAAATACTGTTTTTAAAGTGACAAAAAAGAACTGAGGCCTGCCCTGCTTTCATGCAGTTCCTGTCAGTGTTAAGAGAAAGTCTCTTGTTTCCCAGAACAAGGTTCTCCATGCTCACAGCAATGTCTTGCCTCATTCTTGTTAAAGACCTTGAAAATGCTACTTCTGTCTAGGTAGAGGTTCTGGGGTAGCAGAAGAACTGTGACCACGTCTCTGACACTAAATCACATGACTATCTCACCAACTATGATATCAGGCCCTAGGTCAAGGGCCTCTTACCAATACTGGTACATTAAAAAGTGATTTTTTAAATTACTTTAAAATTTTTTCTTGATTTAAAAATTGATAAATGCTTCAATCTATCAACCACCATAAACTAAAAGCATAGAGAGTAAATGGATTTAATACTAGAGGTGAATCTTTTTTTTTTTTTAAAGATTTTATTTATTCATTTGAGAGAGAATGAGATAGAGCATGAGAGGGGGGAGGGTCAGAGGGAGAAGCAGACTCCCCGCCGAGCAGGGAGCCCGATGCGGGACTGGATCCCTGGACTCCAGGATCACGACCTGAGCCGAAGGCAGTCGCTTAACCAACTGAGCCACCCAGGCGCCCTAGAGGTGAATCTTTTATATAAGTTGATAATTTTGTTGAGAGTATGCTTTATTTTTTGATCTCTGTGATTATTTATCCCTACCTTGGGCAAAGGAAAATAAAAACCAGAAATTAGGCAATAAGTAAACATTGATTGACCCTTTTGCCCTTTATGAAGAGGGCACCTAACACTTGTCTTCTAGGAGCATAAATTGTATTTGGTAAGATAAAACATTCCAGACAATGTCGTTATTCTGCCCTGCATTTTCAATTTAGTGTTCAGTTAATTTAGATAAAGTGTTTTGATTAGAAGTCTGATCCTTTTGTATGAAAGAATGTTCCACTAGAAACTAACCAAAGATAGTACCAGGGCTTCGGATAGATCTATCATGAATTAAAGCAAGATACCCTTAAGAAGTAATCCACTTAGAAGATGACAGTGTACTTTATAGTGGTGGTTCTAAGAACCCGATGTCATACATACATATATTTTAACATAGCATCCGGGCACCAGTATTTGGCTTTAGTTGTGGGAAAAGTCACTGATACCCACTGGATAACTGTCTTAAGAATTCTAAGAAACTGGGGCGCCTGGGTGGCTCAGTCGTTAAGCATCTGCCTTCGGCTCAGGTCATGATCCTGGGGTCCTGGGATCGAGCCCCGCATCGGACTCCTTGCTCAGCAGGGAGCCTGCTTCTCCCTCTCCTACTCTGCCTGCTTGTGTTCCCTCTCTCACTGTCTCTCTCTGTCAAATAAATAAATGAAAAATCTTTAAAAAAAAAGAATTCTAAGAAACTGAGCAATGTGAGAATCAAGGCTTAGTGTACAGTAGGTTTAAACTAGGTTTCTATCCTTGAGGATAAAACAAGCACACTTAGAATGCACGCTTATGGGATCAATTAATCCCTTAACATAAGAGAAAAATGTCACAACTTTACTGACATTTATAGTGGATACTGTGGCATACCATCCAGACATACCCTCTCTCCCCAACCCCTCACCCCCCCACCCCCCGCACCGCCTGTGAGGCAGTCACTGCCCCAGCTTCTGAGAATGTTGGTTGATGGCCCTCAGCTAAGATTCTCTCCAGGTATTTTCTTCACCCTAAGGTCATGCCCCTCGGGTCAAATGACTAATCTCTTCTGCTGGGATATAAAGTCCCTCCCCCTTGCCTTAATATGGCCCAACTGCAGGGCCATCCCAGCTCTCAGTTCTCAGAGGACTTTCCTGACTGCATCCCAGCCCAACTTCTCCCTCCTTCCCAGTCTTGCTACTTTTACTCCCTCAGATTGGTAGATCTGAAAGCATTCCCATTTAAACTTTGCATCCTAACCTCCATCTCTATTTCCCCAGGGAACTTAGCCTTTGACAACATTTGAAACCCAAAGCCAAAACAAACAAACTTGATTTTTCACTGAAACAACCGAACTATTCCTGTTGAATTTTTCTTGCCTTTTATTTTCTTCTATTAAGACAAAAAAAAATTACCTTTTTCTGATTCTTATTTTTTATGAACATGTAAAACCACCAATTAATGCTTGCTTCACTTGGTAGAGCATCCAGACATCTTGAAGCTCCCCACCCCCACCCCATCCCACCTGTCTCCATCCACACCCACAATCATTTTAATATCTGTTCTCCAAAGTCAGGGATATTAAAGTAAAGGAGCTGAACTCCAATTAAAATACTTCTAATAACATACCTGAATGGGCCTGGCCTTTCATTACAGTGTTGATGATACTGTACGGCTCCTTGTTTTCAAAGACCATCCATGTTCATGGCACACTACTGGCATTTTATGGATTTGCTAAGCTATGGATATTTCTATTTCATGTGCATTTATCAGAATTTTGTTGAACCAGTACATCACAGAATGCTCAGAATTTTTAATTCGTAATTCATCTTTATTAAAGTAAAACCTCTAAAATATATGTAGAAAATAATGTATTGGGTATTTTCACATCCAAGATAGTCATTGAAGGTTAAGGGGAAGGAGGAGGTCTTATTTCTAATGTTTTACAAAGGAAATCTATCTCTAGTACCAAATACCATGGTATTGGTACTAGAATACCATGGATGATATTCTTGTCATCTAAATTTGTTGAAGCTGTTAAGCTTGTACACTGTTAAAAAGTGTGTGACTTCATAAAGTCTGTCAAAGATAATCATAAAACAATGAAGCAATCATTTAACCCAAAGACCAGTCCCCTCTAAATGGAATGTATCTTTTTCATTCAACCAATATTTGGCTCTGAGACACTGGCTACTGGGAGGCAGCAGGGAAGAGGCACGATCGAGCAGTCCTGGCCCTCAAGAGGCTCCCCCTCTTCTGGGGAATCCAGACATGGAGTAAGCACTTACAAGTACAGTATGGAAGGAGCTTCTCCTCCGGGGAGCTAACTTCCCATAAGGGGTGAGATTTAAAACCGCTTTCATTGTCACCCCATGCATTACAAACAGGAGGGGAAAGCCTAGGCAAGAAATACAAGAACAACATTTGAGGAAAGGGAGTGCTAAGGGAAAATCTACAGCTTTTGAAGAAGACAGCCTGTGCACAGCACATGGAGGGCCGAGATTCTAGGGGTTTTCAAAAAGCAGCTAAATTTTATTTTTACTTAATCCTTTACTTATATACCTAAATCAGAAATTAAGCCAAAAAGCATGAAATGAGACCTCCGAGAACTCATATCCTACTCTCAAATAGCCCAAACTATTTAAGACCTAAATGGGGCAGATAAAAAATATCTCAAGAGCTTTAACAGCTCAGGGGATATATACACCAAGCCTCTTGTTTTATATTCAGAAGAGTAGAAAACTGGGCTAAACATATATCTCAGAATGTATGTAAAATAATTTGCATGGGTTAGCCTCACCAAAACAAGCTCACTGCTTTGACCACGCCCTTATAACGGCCCTTCATTATATCATCAGGGGAAATTGTGTATCAAGAGGGAGCAGTATGGGACACAGATACCTCATATGCTCCTTTAATGGTAAATTTTGCAGAGTCAAATAGGACTAAAAAGTCATAGCAATGGGACAGAGTGCTGCTCTGTTTTAAACATGCACTTTGTCCCTCGAGAACCTTTGGTTAGACTTTTTGTTCAGTAAGCCATTTCATTAAACGTGGTTCAATTCCCAGTCTAAGACATTCACTGACACATTCAATAACAACATTCTTATAAATTAAAGTCAACTATAAGTCCTCCCTCTGGTTTCTCTTCTGTGCTTTGTAAATATGTACATCTTTTTCAGGATCATAGTGAACCTTACTCACAGTAAATTGCCTCTCCAGCATCGCTAAGAAGTTGTTGTCCCGTTCATAGCGAATTCGGCAAGCTAAAAGAATCACAGAGCGGTTGCTACTGAGATGTTCCAAAGTCTGAAGAAGATCTGCGAATGTTTCTTCTAAATATATGATATCAGCTCCAAGTATCAGGTCAAATTCTCCAGGTGAGTAACTCCCCAAATTTTGTCCCCAAGTCAGCTCCTTAACAATAGCTTTGGGTTGGATATGGGGAGGTAAGTTGGCTTGAACATTTGATTTAAGAAATTCTAATGCTACTTTCCGATCCGTGATAGTCACATGAGCACCTAGAATGTGGGACAGAGAGACAGTTATGTGCACATCAATACAACTGGTCGGGACGGGGGAGGTGGTCAAGTTAAACAGCAGGGTGAGTGTCTAGTATTCCACCGAGTAGCCAGAAGACCATGCCCTTCATGGATGGCTGTAGAAGAACAGAACAATGACCAGTAGCTCCTTCTGCACTGCTTACTGGCAAACATGAACCTTTGATGTGCCTCTCTGACACACCTGTTTGCTAAGCTCTCCCGATAAAATGCAGAGTCCCCAAATGACAAGCTGAAGCTTCTGAATTCTGCAGGTAGAGCTGGCCCACCCTCCACAGGTGTCTACCACTGTACTTCATTCATTAGGTCATGATCTTCAAGTCAGTAGACCTGATGGTAAAATGGAATCCACTGAAGAAAAATCTAGGAGCAAATAATTATGAAGATGACAAGATACCCAAAACAAGGAAAGGCCACTCTCTGGAGTCTAAGCTTTAAAAGGAATCAAGGGAGGGCGCCTGGGTGGCTCAGTTGGTTAAGCGACTAACTTCGGCTCAGATCATGATCCAGGAGTCCCTGGATGCTCAGCAGGGAGTCTGCTTCTCCCTCTGACCTCCCCCCCTCTCATGCTCTCTCTCTATCTCATTCTCTTTCTCAAATAAATAAATAAAATCTTAAAAAAAAAAAAAAGGAATCAAGGGAGAGATTAATTGGCTATTACAAAATCCCAGTCCACATCTGCTGTTAGGAAGCAGCATTATGTATTTTGTGTGTGTGTGTGTATAATTTTTTGAAAGTGGTAAACTTAGAAATTACTAGATTGTATCAAAGTACTACTATAGGTTAAAATGTGAGATCATGTTTTCTAAATGCTAAGTTTCTACATGCGGTGTATAAAATTAATGAGGCAATATTCCGTTAATATTTCTTGTGAGTTGCTTACCATGAACCAGTAAACTACCAGACTGAACTGGTAGTTTACCCTTAAGGTGAAAGAATCACGTAAGGTCGGCCCTGAAATACCTCATCTGCACTGCAGTAACAATATAATATGTGTAATCCTGTTTAGTTTGGGCCTTGTAAATTCTGAAATTTAACATTGTGATTCATTCTTCATAAAATGACCTCTCATTTGCACCCTTAGTTGGTAATCTTCATGGGTAATCCCCCACGGGACTCCAGACCAGCTATAGCAAGCACCATTTCAGTGGCAGCTCAGACTGATGTTTCTCATCTTGACCTGTAATGTTAGGACACTATGTAATTCTACCTGACATTTACAGCCCTGAGTGTGATACTGAAGAAAACGCTCAAGCTGTTAGATTTTACAAGAGTGCTCCTACCACTTTGACCGTTCAGTGCTAGACAGCATGCTGCCCAATGAGCAGAATTCGGAGATACTTCTCATCTCTCCTGATAATAAAAAAAATCACAGACAGCCTTTTCCTGGTTTGACTCAGAACTTTATCTCTGGCTTTCTTAACAATCTGCATTTGCAGGCAATCCTGGAGTGATCTAGTCTTTTGCATATCATCTCGGTGTTCATTTTAATACTTCTTACATGTAAACCTTTTCAATGCCTGTCTCAGGGGGTTTCTGAAGCTACTGCTAACCAGCTAGGGGTTCCGGGAGTTTTGCCAGGATCTTGATGTGAGTTGGCCACTCCCCTGTAACATCTGTCAATTGTACAAATAGCCAAGTAGCTACCATCAGCCAAGGGACAAAAGCCCCTACCCTCACAGACCTTACATTCAAGTGAGGAGCCAGGCAGTAAGAGGAGTTTTTAAAATGAGAATAGCCAGTATGTCATTTAGAGATAAGGACTAGGGGGATAATAAAGCAGGAAAGAGAGATGTGAAATGTCTGGAAGTAAGGGAGGTGGGGCTGACATTTCAGACTGAACAAAAAGGGAAGGTCTCGCTGAGAAGGGGACTCAGATGAAGGTCTGGAGGAAGTGAAGGTATAACTGAGTGCGTCGCAGGGGGAACAGTCTTCCTGGCAGGCAGAAAAGCAAGTGCCAAGGCCTACAGGGGGGCAGGCAAGGAGGCTACCGTGGTTGAAATGAGTGAATGAGGAATGAAGTAGTAGAAGATGAGGTTGAGGAAGTAACAGGCAGGAGGCAGATGACCTATGCAGGCCTCACAGGTCACGTTTCAGAAAGGCTTTGGCTTTTTCTGAGATGGGAAGCCAGTGGAGAGTGCTGAGCAGAAGTGCCAATGATTTCAGGCTTTAACAGAATTTCTAGCAGTAGGTCAAGGAGTCCTGTGAAGAGGTCACCACAATGACCCAGCTGAAGGAGGCGGGTGGTTTGCCCCTTTGGTCTAACCACCCCAGGCCAGCTCCCAAATACACCTGCCCAGGAGCAGCCTCTCCTGCCTCTCCTGAGAAGCACTCCCCCTCACCAGCCACTCAGGTTTCATCACCCAGATGTCATCCCTGCATAGGGCAGCTCTGTCTGTGGTTTCCTTTTGGGTGTTTGTTTAGGGGGGGCCATGGAAAAGGTCTTAGATTTCTTTGAATCTGTCAGTTTCCTTTGAATCTTCCCCTTGTGATTTGGGGAACATATAGATCATTTGCCCTGTAGTTTCCCACAATCTGGATTTTGCTGATTGTACCATTTGTGTAGTTTAGCATGTTCCTGGCTCCTCTGTGTCTCCTGTAAATTTGAGTTTACTTTTTTGAGCAAGACTATTTCAGAGGTGGTAGCGTGTTCTTCATCAAGATGTATGTAGGACCTGGTAGGCTCTATTTTTGTGATGTGAGCAGGCACAAATACCCAGTGCCCAGATCTTTAATTCACTAGATTCCTTTTGCATTTGTTTGTTGAGAAATTTCTATAAAGGGAAGTTTCTTTCAACTACTATTTAGTTACTCATTTTGTACAGAAACTGAATAGGATAAACTTTGCTCCTCCCTCCCCTTTTATACACCAGATTCCAAAGATCTGGTTTCTAAGCATCCTCGAAAGATGACTAATTGGGTTTATTTTGTTGCTGTTGTATTATGAACTCATGGATTAAACATATTTGATATATTTAAATCCAGTGCCATTATCAATATTGATGTTCAAACTGTCCTATCTTTTGCCAGTGGACTTTGACACAACCCCATGTCATCCTTGTTAGCTTCCTTGCTATCTGGTATAATGAGATATACTGGGTCATCTTACCTATTTCCTGCTACAGAAAATACATTTCCATTACACATTTTCAGCCGCTTAAAATTTGATTTTTTTTTCTTCTTTAGATAGGAGACAGCAGGTTTGTAGGCTGTTGGGAATGGTCAGTTGGAAAGAGGGAAGAAAAGTGATTATGCAGGGAGAGGGAAGAGGAGAGAAGGGGGTTGGCCCGTGCAGGGCAGACCCTGCGTGTGAGAGCATCCCACGGAGGGCAAAGGTGGAGCCGGTGGGCCCAGACACGGGAGAGTTAGAGGCAGCGTGGGAGGCTACAGAAGTTCTCTTCTGCCCGCTGTAATCTCCTCAGTGAAATAAGAAGAAACATCACCAGCTGGGAGTGTGGACGGGGGACGGAGACACTCAGCAGAGTAAGAGAGGAAGCAGGATGGGGCTGCTCAGTGGCATCGCCTGCCCCTTGAGGTTCCTGAGCCACAATGTGAAGTGAGACCCCACAGCAGAGAGCCCCACACGGGGCTGCACGGACACGGGCCTGGAATCAGCCGAGGGCTACCCTCCCCCTGCTATCCAGCCTAGCGAGGAGAAGCAAGGACGGGCAGAGTGCCCAGGGACGTGAAGATGGTGAAGAAATGACCCCCCGGGAGGCTCGTGCTGTGTGTGGAGGGTGTGGCAACATTTAGCCCATGACAGACTCACGGGAGCTGACCCAACACGACCACATGTCCCTCGGCCACTCACTCAGTAATGGAGAAAGAACGCTTGAACCCCTACCATCACTTTAGTTGGTACTTTTGTAAGCAACACCTTACTTTATTCGAACGTGGGAGCACATACTACGTACTAGAGACACAGAGATGAGCAAAACAATCCTTGGCCTCTAGGAGCTCAGTCTCAGGAGGGAGAGAGACACAGAAGCACAACTGTGACGCAATGTGGGGAGTAAAATAGGGAGATGGGGTTGTCAGGAAATGATGTGGTCACAAAGGACACCCTCTTAGAGAGGGGCAGAGGTCAAAGAATTCGGAAGGAAGGGAAATCTGAGCTTACACTGGGAAGATGTGGCATTAACCAGGGGAAAGGGGTGAAGAAAGGGCATTCAGGGCAGAAGGGACAGGCCAGAAGCCACTGGTGTGTCCCTGGAACCGCAAACAGTGCAGCCGGTCTGAAACAGGAGCCCGAAGGGTCAGGCAAAACGGGGTTAGAGCCTCATGAGTCTTAGGCCGTGGGGAGGCACAGGGCTTTTTTTGTTTTGTTTTTAACTAGGCTCCACACCCACTGTGGGGCTTGAACTCACGACCCCGAGATCAAGAGTCGCATGCTCCACCGACTGAGCCAGCCGGGTGCCCCGAGCACTTCTGCAAGGAGGATGGGCCGCTCTGGCCTACTGGGAAGTGGGTCTGAGAAGACAAAGCAGAGGCAGAGAGGTGAGGCGGTGGGGATGCGCATAGCATTACGGAGGAGACAGATGCTGAGAGCTCCAGCCAGGCCAGGGGGCACGCAAAGGGAGAACTGGAATCAAGAAACTGTTAGAAGACAGATCAGCGGGGCTCAGAGAGGGAGGTGGGGCTGGGGGAGCGGGTCAAGCCGCCGCTGGCTTGAGTGATGACTGGGGTGGCCACACTAACTCAGAACAAAAGCAAAGGATGAGTTTGCAAAGGGAAGAAGAGTTCAAATGTAAACACACGTATGTTTGAGGTGCTGAGAAATAGCCAGGCAGAGACACCCAGCCTTCAGTGAAACACAAGTGGAAAGTTCAGTGGAGACTTACACACCAGGAGTACAGAAAACTAAAAGACAACTCTTTCCTGAGCGCTATATTTTAAGACTGTTCCCAGACTTGGTTGGCATCAGATCACCTCAGAAGCTTTTAAAATCCAGATTCCCTAACCCCACCCCAACTTACAGAGCCCTATCTTAAAAATGAGACAGTTTTTTCTAAGAATAGTTTCCACACAGTACAAAGAGATTTTCAAACGAAGAACCAGGGTTTAAGAGTCAGAACTGGATTCCAGTTCTAACTCCACAGTCCATGAGCTTTGTGACCTTGGGCAGGTTTCCTAACCTCTATCAAGCCTTCATTTCACCACAGAGAGCACCAAGGGGACCCACCCACCACACAGGGGCACAGTGAGAAGGGCCTGGGAACTGCCCAGTAATTAACAGGTGTTGTTTTTTCTTTTAACAGGAAAATCTCATCACCCATTATTAAAGTTCTGCAGAGAACTCACCAGGGGTTTTTTTTTTTGGCTTTTTAATATAATCTGTCTTTTCCTTCCTTCCCCCTCAGAATTAGAATGGAAGCTTCCTCAGAAGGCAGGAATAAATGACTCAGGTTATGAAAAATGGAAATACTTTAAGAAGGAGAATGATCAGCATCTAACATTTCAAAATCACTCCCTATTCTAGTTCTCACTGCCTCCTTTCTAAAAGACTAACGTTTTCTTTACCCTCAGGTTTCAACCTCCAAACTAACGCCTAATATTTTGCAGCCACAACAAATAATGGGTTTGCAAATCACACTGCACGGAGAGGCGCGCACAGCGTTGAATGAGACAAACAGGTGTGTGTGTATGTACGTCCATATACATGCGTGTGCACACACATACACCTCTATAACGATGAATTACAACTATGGTTAAAAACACAGATGGAGGGGGCGCCTAGGTGGCTCAGTTGGTTAAGTGACTGCCTTCGGCTCAGGTCATGATCCCGGAGTCCCAGGATCGAGTCCCGCATCGGGCTCCCTGCTCAGAGGGGAGTCTGCTTCTCCCTCTGACCCTCCTCCCTCTCCTGCTCTCTGTCTCTCATTCTCTCTCTCTCAAATAAAAAAAAAAAAAAGAAAGAAAAAAAAAAATACAGATGGAGATAGGGCGCCTGGGTGGCTCAGTTGGTTAAGCATCTGCCTTGGGGTCAGGTCATGATCCCGGGGTCCTGGGATCGAGCCCCGCGGCGGGCTCCCTGCTCAGCGTGGAGTCTACTTCTCCCTCTCCTCCCTGCTCGTGCTCGCTCTCTCAAATAAATAAATAAAATCTTAAAAAAAAATACAGGTGGAGGAAAAAGAATGGAAGGAAATACACCAAAATGGCAACAGTACATATGTTGCAGAGTCATGAATAATTAGGACGTTTGATGGGTTTGTCGTCCCCCTTCTTCATTCTGCTTCTAGGGCTATTTTTGAAATAGAGTGACATCACTTTTGTAAAAGAAACATTACTTTTCATGATCTTCTAGTTTGTCCAACTCTTACTCCAGAACTATTTGAGTAACTACTGTGTGGCAAGTGGTGTCTGGGGCCAAGGACACACGGAGGGAGGGGCAGTCCCGTGTCTCAGGAGCCTCAGCGGGCCAGGACAGACAGACATAAGGAACAACCACCTGTTACAAAATGTGACACAGGTGGTGCGCAGACCAAGCGCTGTGGGGAGAAGAAATCAGGCAGTAGTGAATTGTGTGTGGCAGGAAAGGATTCAAAGAGGTGACAGGGAAGCCGGGCCAGGAAGCACGCATCCCCCGTCCCGAGCACAAGGTCTGTGGTTCCATTCCAGCCGCTCCCCAGCCGTCCATCTTGTGAGGCAACAACTAACCAGTCCCTCTCTCTGCGCTCCTCTTTGAAGAAGCTCATCCCAGTTTTCCCCACCCCCCACACCCAGATTTCTAGATCACAAACAGAAATACTCAGAGGGGCAATCAACATTTATTTGAGCATTTGCTTTGTGCCAGTCAATGAGCTAACCGCTTCCTATGCCTAATCTCATTGGATCCTCACATGGCATGAACTAGTATCTCCATTTTATAGGGAAACTGAAGTGGAGAGATTGAGCAACTTGCCCAAGATCACAGAGCTAGTAAGAGTTAAAAGAGGTGTCAAAACCAAGTATAACTCTAAACCTATGCACTTTGCCAACTAGTCTCTACACCAGCTGATACGGCTGTGCAGTTCTCCTGGGGAAACAGAAGAAACCTCATTTCCCTTCCAGGTAATTCCTCTCACATCAGTAAAGTTAGTGTCAAGGAAAGATAATAAAGAGCCACAGTGTCTGACAAGCCTGGTTTGACTCTCAAGTCTCCACTGACCAGGACTTCACAAAGGGGCTTAATCTCACAGAACCCCAGTTTCATTGGCAAAAGGAAAGTTAAAAATAATATCTAACACCCATGGGGATGTTCTAAGGCTAACAAAAGGCAGCATATGAGCAAGAGCCTCATCAGTGCCTGTATGGGCTGTAGGGTGAGAAAGCTGGAAACCTAGATCCCCACCACGCGGCCCCTGTTCCCCATCACATTTGGGAAGGCAAGATCTAAACAGAGAAAGGAATACTGAAAAAAAGAAAAGTTACCAGAAAGAGGACACAATAAAGGAGGGGCTTTCGTGGGTCCTCGAGTACCTGTACACTATGTAATGGAATCCCAGCTCCTGAAGTGTGGTCTGAGTACCAACTGTCGGCATCGTCATCCCCTGGGAGCTTGTTAGAATTGGAGGCTCTCAGGCCTGACCCCAGACCTACAGAAGCTGAAACTGCATTTTAACAATACTGAAGTGATAAATGTTATATATTGTGTCTTAGAAGGTGGCCTATCCTATCATTGGGTAGTTTGAACTGCATGAGCCAGAAGCTGTAGAAAGGAGTCAACAAAGAATAATAAAATAAAAACAAAAGCTTAAGGGCACCTGGGTGGCACAGTCAGTTGAGCATCTACCTTCGGCTCAGGTCCTGATCTCAGGGTCCTGGGATCAGCCCTGCATCCAGCTCCCTGCTCAGTGGGGAGTCTGCTTCTCCCTTTTCCCTGCCCCTCCCCACTGCTCGTGCTCTCTCTAATAAATAAATAAAATCTTTAAGGAAAAAAAAAAAGCTTAAAAATGCTCTAGGCCTAAGTTAATGTGTGCATACCAAATTAAAAAAATGAAAAACCTTGATATCAATTCAGGACTGCATACTGTGAATACAATTTTTTTTTAAAGATTTTATTTATTTGACAGACAGAGACAGCGAGAGAAGGAACACAAGCAGGGGGAGTGGGAGAGGGAGAAGCAGGGCCCCATCCCAGGACCCTGGGATCATGACCTGAGCCAAAGGCAGATGCTTAACCGACTGAGCCACCCAGGTGCCCCTGTGAATACAATTTTTAAATATAAGATGTCAGTACAAACTACAGCAGGGCCGACCCTTCTTAGAAGAGAAAAACCAGCCAAGTTTCCTCAACAAGGGAACTATAGGAATGAGACTACCTGCTCTCCCTGCGTAACAGGGTTAAATCCAATAGAGATTGGAAGGCCCCTAAACTTTAAAAATCTATGTGGGTGAATATGAGAATTCTCTTTGAACTAAAAGTTGCCTTCAGATCATATTATTGGCATAATACTGAAGGGGGCAGGAACCTAATTCAGACAACCTAATTGTCTCCTCAACTGCAATTCTAATTGCCCAAATAAACGTGTTTGCTTAAAAAACAAAACAAAATTAAAAAAATAAATAAACTGAGGAGGGCAAAGCAGTCTCTCGTGAGAAGTATAAATAACAGGATGAGAGCAAGAGCAAGAGAGAAGCAAGCAAGCAGGTTTGCTGGAGTTAAGGGCACCAGCAGCCAACTCATAAGCACGGGGCACAGAAAAATCCAGTAAGGGGGAAACCAATACGGTCTGTGTCAAGGAAACAGCAATCACACCTCGCAGTGAGTTGACTCACAAAGGAGTGAGCCAGCGTACAGCACTTACCCAGCAGGGCAGCCACTATGCCCACCAGCCCGGTGCCGGCACCCAGCTCCACCGCAGAGCAGCCCTGGAGCTCCACAGCTCCCATCTCCAGATAGGTGGAAAGGACGACAGCCTGAATCAGAACACAGCGGGGTGATCCAAGTCAACAAGTGCTTTAGGAACCCAAGGGTTTCGGGCAGACTTCGCACGAGCAGGAAGACATGACATACCCCTCTCCTCCCTGCAAGGTTCCAGTCCCAGTTTGGCAACAGGCAGAAACTCAGCTGCTGCTGGGAGGGGACCCCCCAGAGCGGGCACAGACGCTGCAGCCTCAGGCCCCACAAGCTCCCTCCCGGGGACAGTAAGGGTCAAGGACACTGCCCACACAACACAGGATCCTGCTCAATCTGGCAAGTTTCACTTCTTACTCTTTGTTATATGAATTATATCTCAATATAAAACTGTTATTAAAATAAGTAAATAAAGGGGCACCTGGGTGGCTCAGTTGGTTAAGTGACTGCCTTCGGCTCAGGTCGTGATCCTGGAGTCCCGGGATGGAGTCCTGCATCGGACTCCCTGCTCAGCAGGGAGTCTGCTTCTCCCTCTGACCCTCCCCCTCTTGTACTCTATCTCATTCTCTCAAATAAATAAAATCTTTAAAAAAATTAAATTAAATTAAAAAATAAGTAAATAAAGACCAGTCTTATAATCCACTGTGGTTGTCTGCAGAGGCCCAGTGGGGTACTCACCGCGTCCCAAACCACCGCGGCAACTCCCAGCTGTCTCCAGTCCTGCCGGATCTGGATCGTGTGGTTCGCAAAGGAGAAGGTGGCAAGAGGCTTGTGGAATTTCTGCAACCCCACTCCCGCTGTCTCCTCATAGGGCACCAGGGCCATTTCGCCTGCACTCAGCTCTCGGCTCCCTCAAAGCTGTTGGGCAAGAGAAGCCTGCCTGACGCTCTGGCCAGAAAAAAATGCACTCTCTTAAGTAGCCCCAGATGCTTTTTTTTTAATATTTTATTTGACAGAGAGAGACACAGCGAGAGAGGGAACACAAGCAGGGGGAGTGGGAGAGGGAGAGGGAGAGGTAGGCTTCCCGCAGAGCAGAAAGCCTGACGTGGGGCTCGATCCCAGGACGCTGGGATCATGACCTGAGCCGAAGGCAGACACCTAACGACTGAGCCACCCAGGCGCCCGCCCCCCCGCCCCCCCCCCCCCGTCAAATGCTTTTTAAAGCCAAATCTTACAAGTTCAAAAGAAGACAACAGAGGTGGGGCGGGGGGGCCTTTGTCTAATTCCTTTTTGCACGGCTCTTCCTCTTCTGGGAAGGGAAATTTAGTTCCGAATACATGCCAAACGAGGTCTTTGGGAAAAGAACCCACAACCGTACGACTCCCGCAGGATGCCCTAGGCACTCTGCTGCGACCGCTGGGTGAACTGGAGCCGCGGGAAGAGTGAGCGTAGCGGGGCCGCTAGCCCAGGGCCGCAGTCAAAGTCGTGCTTTCGACACTGTCCGGGCCCGTTTGGACTGCAGCTGCCACCCGCTGCGGTCGGCAGGATAGTGTTCGCTGTTTCGTTTTGGTCTTCCCTCCACCCCCTCTAAATTCAGCGCGTTCAACGCTGACAGCCGTGGACCCGAAACTGCACTTGGACTGAGCGTTAACCGTTTGATTCTCCGGCTTTTTGACACGGTCGCAGTTCCATCTCGCCCAGTCTGGAAGCGAAAGGCACTCGTGAACCCCGAGTCGCCCCCGGGGAGAGCGAGAGCCCGGGTCCCGGGGCGGACTCGGGCGTCCGGCGGCTCGGAGGCCTGCCCTGCGTCCCCCAAACCCGACCCCGGCCCCCTCGAAAGGGCCGACAGGTACGCACTCGCTTCCGGCGGGCCCCAGAGCTCCGGGAACCCGCGGAGGTAGAAGAAGTGGGCGGTCGGGGACGGGTCCCCCAGCCGCGCGGGGCGCGCCCCACCCCGGCAGTGCCGCCCGCTTCCCCGAGCCGCGGCCGCCCCCGAAGCGGGGCTGGCGACGCGGCCGGGCCCGAGGTGGGCCTCGCCTCTACTTACTGCTCGGGAGCCAGCCCCGCGTGGCGCGCCTCGCTTTCCCCGCCCCGAGCGCGGCCGCCGCAACCACCCGCCTTAAAGGGCCGGCAGCCGGGAGCTGGCCGGGCGCCGGCAGCGCGGGCGGGCGGCGGAGGTGGGCGGTGCGCGCGCCCGGAGACACGCGTTTCCGGTCCCTCCTACCGCGGACAGGTGTTCCCAGTGCGCTGCGGGGCGCGGGGTCGCAGGTGTGCCGGGCGCGCGCCGGAGGAGGACGCAGGGGGAGAGGGGATCGGGCCTCCCTCCGCAGGTCCCCAAGGTATTCGGGCCGCCAAAGCAGTTTCCGGGACTCCGAGGGCAGCGTGGGCGAGGAGCGCGAGGCGAGCGAGGTGCGGAGCCGCGGGCAGGCGCGCGGAGAGGGCGCGGGGGGGGGGGGCTCTGGCGGCGGGTGAGGGGGAGCCCACCAACCTGGCGCTGGCGAGGTTCTTGTGCTGGTTCCACTTCTCTCTCTCTGAGCTGGTTCTCGTCCCCGCGCGCGCGCACTGTGTGTGTCTGTGTGGGGGTTTTTTTGGTTTTTTGTTTTTTTTTTTTTTCCTAATTTGTGTGCTTGCCTGTTTTTAGTGTTAAAGGTCATTAATTAGCAGGTGTAGAGAAAGTTTGCTCCGAAGTAGACGTGGTCACCCATTCGTCCTCGCGTCACCAAAGGGAGGTCCGAAGTGGTGTAATCGCCACTTGGTGGCAATAGAGTAGGAAAAGTGACAAAGCCCTTGTCAACTAGAGCGCGAACTCGGAGTCCGCACGCGGCGCCCGGGACTCGGTTGTGAAAAGCATCCCGGGGCAGCGGCGAGGCCAGGGGCGCGCGATTTAGGCCCACACCCAGGGCCGGGCGGTTGCTACAGACCCAAGGCCCTAGTGTCGCTCCTCCCAGGGCCCGTGGTTGGCGCACCTGCCCTTGGGACCTTGTGCTTGACGCGAAAGCCACTGACCCAAGCTGCGGGCCCTTGGAAAGCGCGGCTGGCGTGAGCACCCCACCGTGCGACCGCGCGGGGAGCGGCGGCGTCCTCTCCGGGAAAGTTCCCTTTTCTTCCCGGACGCTGACCCCCAGTTCCTCCCCCACCTGCCGCCGCTCGGTCCCGGTGATTCTCAGCCCCGGCTGCGCGTTTGAATGAACGCGAGAGCTTTTCAACTCCCCCTCCCTGGACTCTGCCACGGGAAAGTCTTCGCTGGTGTGAGGCGACCCGAGCATTGGTATTTTTCAGCGCTTCCTGGTAATTCCTGCTGTAAGAGCCCCAGGCCGAGCCTAAACCACCCCCTTCTCGCCTCTCCCCTCCTGCAGGGGGCGTGCTGGCCTCGCTCCACATTTCTTTAACCTTCCAAAGGCTGGAGCTGCAAAACCGACTTGAAGTGTACTTCAAAGATGAGCCGTGAGGGGCGCCCGGGTGGCTCAGATGGTTGGGCGGCTGCCTTCGGCTCAGGTCATGATCCCGGAGTCCTGGGATCGAGTCCCGCATCGGGCTCCCTGCTCCTTGGGAGCCTGCTTCTCGCTCTGCCTCTCTCTCTCTCTCTCATGAATGAATAAATAAAATCTTTAAAAAAAAAAAAAAAAAGATCAGCAGTGAAGGTCTTTTACTAACTTTTCTTCTTTGCTCAGTTTTTTTTATTTTTAAAAATTTACGTAATAGGGGACGCCTGGGTGGCTCAGTCGGGTAAGCGTCTGCCTTCGGCTCAGGTCATGATCTCAGGGTCGTGGGATCGAGCCCCGCATCGGGCTCCCTGCTTCGCGGGGAGCCTGCTTCTCCCTTTGCCTCTGTCTCTCTCTCTGTCTCTCATGAATAAATAAATAAAATCTTTAAAAAAAAATAAAAAAATAAAAAAAAATTTACGTAATAGAATTTATTTTTTAGAGCAGTTTTAGGTTCACAGCAAAATTGGGAAGAAGGTACAAAGATTTCGCAAATTTTCACTCCCTGCTCCAACACTCCCCCCATTATCAACACCCCCACCAGAGTGGTACATTTGTTACAACTGATGAACCTACATTGACACAGCATTATTACCCAAAGACCGTAGTTTATCTTAGGGTTCATTCTTGGTACTGAGCATTTTATGAGTTTGGACAAATCTGTAATGGCATATATCCACCATAATAGCATCATACAGAGAAGTGTCACCTCCCTAAAATCCCCCTGTGCTCTACCTATTAATCTTCCTCCCTCTGCCATAACCCTGGCAACCACTAATCTTTTTACTCAACTCCTTTGGGTCAGTACAGAAGACTGTGATTACTGAATCTTACGGTAAAAGTATATTGAGTTTTGTAAGAAACCACCAGACTCTTCCAAAGTAGCTGTACCAACCAGCAATGAATGAGAGTTTCTGTTGCTGCACATCCTTGTCAGTACTCGGTGTTGTGTTTTGAATTTTAGCCATTCTGGTAGGCGTGTACTAGTTGTTTTAATTTGAAGTTCCCTAATGACATATGATGTGGAACATCTTTTCATATGCTTATTTGCCATCTGTATATCTTCTTTAACGAAGTGTCTGCTAAGTCTTTGGTCCATTTTTTAAAATTTTTATTTAAATTCAATTAACATATAATGTATTATTAGTTTCAGAGGTAGAGGTCAGTGATTTATCAGTCTTATATAACACCCAGTGCTCATTATGTCACGTGCCTTCCTTAATGTCCATCACCCAGTTACCCCATCCCCTCCACCCAACCCACCCTAGCAACCCTCAGTTTGTTTCCTATGATTAAGAGTCTCTAATGGTTTCTCTCCCTCTCTGATTTCGTCTTGTTTTATTTGTTCCTCTCTTCCACTATGATCCTCTGTTTTGTTTCTTAAATTGTACATGAGTGAGGTCATATGATAATTGTCTTTCTCTGATTGACTTATTTCACTTAGCATAATATCCTCTAGTTCCATCCACGTCATTGCAAATGGCAGGATTTCTTTTTTCTTTTTGATGGCTGAATAGTATTCCAGTGTGTGTGTGTGTGTGTGTGTGTGTGTGTGTGTATACACACACCACATTTCTTAATCCATTCATCTGTCCATAGACATCTAGGCTCTTTCAATAGTTTGGCTATTGTGGACATTGCTGCTATAAACGCTGGGGTGCATGTGCCCCTTCGGATCACTACATTTGTATCTTTGGGGTAAATACCCGGTAGTGCAATTGCTGGGTCATAGGGTAGCTCTATTTTCAACATTTTGAGGAAGCTCCATACTGTTTTCCAGAGTGGCTGCACCAGCTTGCATTCCCACCAAGTGTAGGAGGGTTCCCCTTTCTCCACATCCTCACCAACATCTTGTTATTTCCTGACTTGTTAATTTTAGCCATTCTGACTGGTGTGATGTGGTATCTCATTGTGGTTTTGATTTGTATTTCCCTGATGCCGAGTGATGTTGAGCACTTTTTCATGCGTCCGTTGGCCATTTGGATGGCTTCTTTGCAGAAATGTCTGTTCGTGTTTTTTGCCCATTTCTTGATTGGATTATTTGTTCTTTGGGTGTTGAGTTTGATAAGTTCTTTATAGATTTTGGATTCTAGCCCTTTATCTGATTAAGACATTTGCAAATATATTCTCCCATTTTGTCAGTGTCTTTTGGTTTTGTTGACTGTTTCCTTTGCTGTGAGTAAAAGCTTTTTATTTTGATGAAGTCCCAATAGTTCATTTTTGCTTTTGTTTCCTTTGCATTTGAAGACATGTCTAGTAAGAAGTTGCTGCGGCCGAGGTCACAGAGGTTGCTGCCTGTGTTCTCCATTAGGATTTTGATGGATTCCTATCTCACTGTTAGGTCCTTCATCGATTTTGAGTCTATTTTTATGTATAGTAGGAAAATGGCCCAGTTTCATTCTTCTGTATGTGGCTGTTCAATTTTCCCAATACCATTTGTTGAAGAGACAGTCTTTTTTCCATTGGATATTCTTTCCTGCTTTGTCGAAGATTAGTTGACCATAGAGTTGAGGGTCCATTTCTGGGCTCTCTATTCTGTTCCATTGATCTATGTGTCTGTTTTTTTGTCCTAGTACCATACTGTCTTGATGATTACAGCTCTGTAGTAGAGCTTGAAGTCCAGCATTGTGATGCCACCAGCTTTGGTTTTCTTTTTCAACGTTCCTCTGGCTATTCGGGGTCTTTTCTGGTTCCATACAAATTTTAGGATTGTTTGTTCCGGCTCTGTGAAAAAAGTTGATGGTATTTTGATAGGGATTGCATTGAATGTATAGATTGCTCTAGGTAGCATAGACATTTTCACAATATTTGTTCTTCCAATCCATGAGCATGGAACGTTTTTCCATGTCTTTGTGTCTTCCTCAGTTTCTTTCATGAGTGTTCCCTAGTTTTCTGAGTACAGATCCTTTGCCTCTTTGGTTAGGTTTAGTCCTAGGTATCTTATGACTTTTGGTGGCCCTTTTTTTTTTTTTTGTCCTGTTTTGTTTTCCAGCTGTATTGAGATATAATTGACATGTTTAAGATATATAATGTAATGATTTGATTCATGTATGTATTGCAAAATTGTTATTACAATAAAGTTAGTTAACACATCTATTATCTCACATAATTATAATTTTGTGTGTGTATGCATGTGTGTAGTGAGAATATTTAAGATCTACTCTCTTAACAACTATCAAGTATATGGTACAATATTGTTAACTATAATCACCATGCTGAATATTAGATTCCTAGAACTTATCCATCTTATAACTGTAAATTTGTACCCTCTGAACAACATCTCCTCATTCCCCCCACCCCCAGCTCCTGACAACCACCATTCTACTCTGTTTCTATGAATTTAGCTTTTTTAAAAAATAGATTCCACAT